GGTGGAGAAAGCGAATGGTGACCTAAGATTGTGCCTTGACTCTCGTAAGCTCAATTCTGTATCTAAGAGCGATGCGTATCCATTGCCGTATATCAACCAAATCTTAGACCATCTCAATAATGCAAGGTATTTGACTTCCATTGATTTAAGTGCGGCGTATTGGCAGATTCCTTTTGACTCGCCTCAATCCGCCGAGAAGACCGCCTTCACTGTCCCAAGAAGAGGTCTCTTTCAGTACAACGTTATGTGTTTCGGTCTCATCGGAGCTTCAGCTTCGATGCAACGCCTCATGGACCGCCTATTTGGTCCCGAGTTCGACAATAGGGTATTCGCATTTCAGGATGACATAATCATTGTGGCCAGCACCTTTGAGGAGCATGTGGACCTCTTACATAGAGTCTATCAGCGCCTTAAGGATGCGGGTCTCACGATCAACATGCAAAAATCGCATTTCTGTCGTAGCGAATTGAAATACCTCGGGTACTATGTTGACAAGCATGGCCTGCGGACAGACCCAGGTAAAGTTGATGTCATTCTCAACTATCCTACACCTTCCAATGCTAAGGAGGTGAAAAGATTCCTGGGCATGGCTGGGTGGTATAGGCGTTTCGTAAACAATTTTTCTAAGATTAGTAAACCCTTATGTAAATTAACTTCTAAGAATGTATCATTTGAGTGGACGCGTGAGGCTGAAGAGTCTTTCAACCTGTTGAAGGCCGCTTTGGTCTCCGCTCCTATTTTGAAAATGCCTGACTACTCCTTGCCTTTTAGGATTCTCAGTGACGCGTCATCCTTCTCTGTGGCTGCTGTACTCACGCAGACACATGAGGGAGTGGAACACCCTATCGCGTATTGTAGTCGTTCTCTTAACAAAAACGAAGTTAACTACAGCACCACTGAGCGAGAACTCCTAGCGGTGATCTTTGCTCTGGAACAGTTCAGGCAGTACGTGGAAGGCCAGAAATGCACCGTAGTTACGGACCACGCCTCGCTGTTGTGGTTCCGTAAACTTAAGAATCCGACAGGTCGCCTGGCGCGCTGGAGCATGAGGTTGAGCCAGTTTGACGTCGATATAGAGCATCGAAAAGGTAAAGACCATGTGGTACCCGATGCTCTGTCTCGAATTCAGATTGACACAATAGGCACCAGCGTTACTAGGGACTCTTGGTACCTCCACACTCTAGACAGGGTGAAGAAGAACCCTCAGCACTTCCCCAACTTTGATATACGGAATAACTGTTTATACAGGCTATCAAAACAGAAATACTCTCTGACTTCTGATTTTGAGTGGAAGCTGGTGGTGCCGCTGGAAGACAGGTTATCCCTGCTCACCAAGTACCATGACGACGTCATGAGTGCCCATGGGGGTGTTTGGAAAACCCATAAACGTTTGGCCCTCTACTATTACTGGCCTAAGATGTACGAGAGTGTCAAGGAATATGTAGACAAGTGTGAGACTTGTAAGCAGTACAAACCTGTGAACACTACTCGTCCCGGCCTAATGGGGAATCCGAAACGGGTGTCTAGACCCTTTGAGGCCATCTCGTGTGACCTGCTGGGTCCATTCCCTACTTCCAGCAAGGGAAACGTTCATTTAATTGTGGTCTCGGACTATTTCAGTAAATATGTCATGTTGTGTCCTATACGGATAGCAACAGGCGTTGCTGTCGCGAGATTCATAGAAAAGAATGTTTTCTTAGTCCACGGAGTTTGTAAAACCATTTATATGGATAATGGCCCACAGTTTGTTAGCAAACCGTTTAGAGACTTGTTGGTTAAGTACAATGTGCCTAACATTTATTATAATCCTCGATATCACGCGCAGACCAACCAGGCAGAGCGAGCTATACGCAACGTGGTTCAGGGAATTTCCTGCTACGTGAAGTCACATCACAAGAAATGGGACGAGAATCTCGTGGAACTCCAGTGTGCCCTAAACACTGCTGTCAGCGAAGCCACTCGTTTCAGTCCCTATTTTCTTGTTCACGGTAGGGAATTCATAGGGGATGGAGTTCTTTATAGACAGACAGAGATTCCTGCCCATCCCAATTCTGTTTCCATTGACAGTCCAGTGTCCTTTGGTGAGAGATTGAAGGAACTACATCGGATATACGACCAGGTGAGGAATTACTTAGATATTGCTCACCGGCGTAACGAGAAATACTACAATCTCAGAAAAAGGCATGTGGAATTGAAAGTGGGACAGATCGTTTATAAGAGGACATTCTATCTATCTAACAAGGCTAAGAACTTTACGGCGAAGTTAGCGCCTAAATTTATGAAATGCATTGTCACCGCCAAACGCTCTCCTTTGGTCTATGAACTGTCGGATTTGGATGGTAAGGATCTGGGAGTATATCACATTAAGGACATTTTGAAGTATAGTGAAAAGGAACAACCTTCTGATCCTTCTCCCACCTATGTCAGTTCCGTCTCTACTCGTATGTGAGATTGCACACTTCGCGTCGCGCGGTCTCTCTTTGCCACATACCTGCTCACTCTATGGTCTTCACTTATGTGAGAACCATACAGTGATTCGGGTAGTAAATAGGGTAACACCTCTGTAGTATTGGGTGAAGGCCTTTTGACTTTGTTTTTTTTGGTAGTTATTGTTTTGTTTGGATTTCATATTGCTCACAATGAGTGTGGTCAGCGCGAGCTATATAATTTATTTTGCATTTCTTGGGTTGACCCTGGTGATGATATTCCCTGCGCATGCTACGCAGGGAATACTTTGAGGGAGGGGGTGGTGTAACAGTTATTTTTTTTTACATTTGAATGGTCTTGTTAAAAGCTACATCTATTAGCCGCGTTGCATTGTTGTTGATTTATCTAAGGTAGTTTATAACTACAGTATTGATCTTCTGTGTTCACTGATGTTAAATGTCAAAGTAAAGTGTTGAGTAGGGATAAAGTCTGGAAACTTCCTGAACCTAGGATATATAAGTCCGGCTTTCTGCCACGGGAGACACTGCTATCTCGTGCCTTCCGATCTTATATAGTGTTTTGATTGCTGTGTGATTTGATTTTCTTAATATATTATCTGTTCAAAGTACCCACACTAAAGTGGTGAGTATGTTCTTAATTCTACTTAAACCTATTTGTTTCTGGAACCTGTTTAATTATATGAGTGCTAATCCATTCGTAGGGTCCCAGATTTCGGGGTCAAGACGGTCAGTCTTAGACGGCGTGCTTGCTCTTTTGTGGCCTTCTGGTACAGACTCAAGTTTCTCGGTACCCTCTGGCAAAGCTGGTGATTGCGCGGCTCACGACGCAAGCGGACAGCCGTACCCAAGAGTTACGTACTTAAACTTATAATTGCAGATTGTTAAACTTTTATCCATATCTAATATAAATAGCCGACTCGGGCGGAAGAGGAAGTAACCTCCTGGAGGGACGACGAGGAGGCACCGAGCACCATCAGCTCGGCTCTAACGCGCACCGCTGCGATTTTTTTTTCTTTTTAATGTACCTACACTGTTTAATTAGTTTAATTTGATCTACTTTTTCTTTGAAATATACATGTATGTATGTATAACTGAGGTGTAAGTTGTTTTCCTCTAAAGAGTCCCATAGGTTTCCCACACGCACACACTTCTATTCTCATACAAGGCGCCCTGAGGTAATCTCTTGAATCTCTCCACTGGGTCAGCCGGTGAGTAGTCCGCCAGAGAGGAAAAGCGGCTACAATCTTTGAGTTGTGAAACACGGATAAAAATACTTAAATACCCAGATCAAGGCATACAGAGGATTACGTAAATGACGCAAAAATTAAAATTGGCAAAATAATAAAAATTTGACACACCTTACACACGGCCGTCTGATCCCAAATAGACAGAGCCTGTACTACAGTAACCAGACTACTGATAAACATAATTATATGTTTCTAAATATATACATATTATAGATAAAGTACAACCAGACACAAAACAAATAACCATGCTCATTACATAATTATTTTGTCCTGGCCTGGCCAATTTCCTGACGTTAACAGCGTTGCAAAGAAAACTTGGAAAGGGTTTTTAATAAAACCCGTCTGTTTTTTTTCATACGGACAGCTCACTGGACAACCGGTGGGGTGGTTATGTCGGACTCGCACCGACTAAAAACCGCAAGCCGTCTCTGGTACCAGTAACCAGGTAACCAGACTGACCCTAGAAAGGAAATCCCTAATACCTCGACGGATATCGGGCCATCTACGGCTCGTTGAAGACCCACTCGTGTGATTACAACATTCATGGGTTCATGGCACTATCAAAATAGTTCCACACTTCCAAAACACGCGCTATGTTTACAATAGACCAATCAATGTATTGTTGACATCGTTGTGACGCGTCACTTAAAACCGACTGATTAACCATTAAGCGAAACCCCGCAGACTAAATCATTACTTACGCTAATAAAATTACTTTTTCAATAAGTTTACATAATTCTTATGTCATTCGGTGATTGATATTCTAAAATAATAAAAAAAAAACTGTAAAGAAGTGGTGGCAGTCACTAGGTGATTAGCAAATAAACTTTATGGTGAGTAAAAACTGTACTTAGTAAAAAAAAACTCTGAATGTTTAATTTTTATTTATCGGATTTCCCTATTTTTAAATATATATTGAATGTCATACTACAATGTAAGAAAATTGTGAGTAAAGTAAGTGTGTAAAAAGAAAACGACATTAAATACGTTTTAAGAACCCAAAAACTAGATCAACTAGTTTTTAAAGATTTTACAAACATTTATTTTCGCTGGCCTGTTTCCACAGTAATTGTAAAGATGAGAAAAAGTGATGCCGTAAAAGTATTAATACTATTAGAATAAAGTTTTGTATTACAGCAGATTGTAAACCAACTATTGTTAGTTTTTCGAAACATATTTGTTGTCCATTGCCAAAATAATCTTCTTAATAACTAGAAATGGATTTGTCAAGTCTCAAGGATGAGATCATTTTACTGCATTTATCTCGCAATTTGTGACATTACACAGTGTTTTACGTGATTTCTTTATGGCCGACTACTTGCAGGACGCCTCTTTCGGAATGTCATCTGTTTTAAACAGGACAAACGAAGAAAGTAATTTTTGAGATTGTGTCAGGCTGATAGGGTTTCTTTGAAACGGGACTAATACTACTGTCCGTCCTATGACTGGAGAATCTATTAGGACAGGTATCAGTTACCCAAGAATCAGAAGTTTAAGGAAATGCTGGTTGAAAGATTTTTAACAATAAGGATATAACTGACACCCTTATCGTGAAAACAGCAGTGTATTTGGCGGAAAAAACGTGTTTTAAGAGAAGAGAAGAGGCTGTTTACCGCCCGCTTTTATAGAAAACCATTATAACCAGTCAGTATCTGATCGTTCGTCGTCGCGTACGCATGTTCGGTGTCCCGCTGTCTTTATTTATCACGAAAAACAATATCTGTTAACCTTGGCTCTATTTCGGAGTTCAGACGACGCTTTGCCTCATGTGAGTATCTTCTAATTTACAACATTTTTTTATTATCAAACGCTGCCGTTCATAGATTTTATCAAATAGCACGCATTTTGTTTATTGCTTAGGTACTCGATTAGATTGTTAGGTATTAGCGGGAATATGTTTTTTGTTGAATAATGCCAAAACATGCCGATTTCTACGTTTTATTATTATGCAATGTATTAAATATCTAGTAGTTCACACCATGTGTTACGCAGTTTTTGTGTGTACATACCCAGTTGCGTTTTTAATAAAAACATAAGCGTTATGTTCACCTATTTTGTGATTTCATTTTGAAAAATTGTAGTTATAAATTGATTTAGTTATGTTGAAAAAGACATTATTATTTAGAAAATATAGGCTAACATTCAAAGAAAAAAACTTCAACAGTCTTTATTAAAATGGCTTTTAAAGTCAATTTCATAAGATGTAAAAATTTGGTTACTTTTCTAATAATCTATTTTTTTGTTGTTGCCCTAGGTATACTATGCCCTAGGATAACAGATTTGTTCTTTTGGTGTCTGGTATCATCTTGTTACCTTAACAATTTATCTCAAAAGTAATCGTTTCGATAATTTGCTTTAATTAATTAAAATAAAATAAAATATTCAGAGTAAGGAATTGCCTCGAAAAAAATTACCTTTCCTTACCTACCTACCTACCTCACTCCAAACTTTTGCCGAGGGTTTTTTGCAAATTACTAATAAATTATAACGTTAACACGTTAACGTTAACGTTCTTAGAAATGTGGTTTTCGCCGAATATACCACGCTGGACAGACAAGTTGGTATAGTATTTATATTGTCTGTCTGTTGTCCTGTTTAGTTTGCTCGTTTAGTCGGCTCTTACGACACTCATTAGATGAATAGGGGTGGTGACACTCTGTATTCTTAATCCGTCAACACACTGACATAACCCAGGGTCATAACTTTGAAGTTATATGCGCTAATAATTATGTTTTCTACTAGGCTTTGTGTTTCATTAAAAGTTTGACAAACATACACAAATACATAAACACACACACACACACACACACACACACACACGTACTTGTTGCATACATACATACCCAGTACTTAGATCGTATGGTTATTTTAGTTCTTAGTTCACATATTGCTTTAGAATCTATTTTTTTTTACAATCGTCCACATGTAGACAGTGGTAGTTTAGAAAATCAAATTACGCACTAAAATATACCTAGATTATCTATAATATCTGTTTTAATAATTTTTAAACATAAATTACACTGATTGATTCCTAATAAATAAAACTAAAATTATCCATACATTAAATAACCCACCATGTCGTAAGAGCCGACTAAGGGCGCAAAACAACGCAGGACACCGACACTGCAGAGAGAAGGAAAACTTGACACAAACCCTATACCAACCCGTCTGGCCAGCGTGGTATAGTAGGCCAAAATCTCCTTTCTGAGGAGAGGCTTATGTCCTGTAGTGAACTATTAAATGTTGATTAAATAACCCACCGCTGGTCGCTCCCAGCGCAAAGGTGCCCATAACGCTAGCTGCGTTTCCACGCTGAATGGCCACGGCCAACCTCTGCACCAGGAACGACCCTGAGCGGGAGTCACCAGTCACTTTGTTCAGCCTGCGCCCAAACTAATCTAATTGTATTTTTCCTATTATTCTTTGTTTACTGTTAGTTATACCACTCTTAAGTAGCAGCAAAATACAAATGTACCTACTCAAACTGGAATATTACATAATGTATTATAATCCATTTGGGGAATAGAACTGACACTCCTTAACACAGGTTACAAAGTAACCTAGCTGGAAGATCAGAACCGAGCCCACTATCATAGCATGTTAATAATTTTACCATATATATAAACTATATCAACATGTTCTGAAATTTTTGAAAATTTTCAATAAAAACATTATTATTTTTATTTAAAAAGTGATAAAGATTGTACTACAAATCGCTACAGCAATTTAGAAAAATATTTAAACATGAAAATCTACTGCCATTATAAATACATTATTTATTGCAGAGTATATAACAGATTTGAATAATAGCACAGAGAAGTAACCAAGCGTGGTTCCTTTACTCCATATTATTATGATTAAATTACACGTATATACAATCACGACTATTTCGCTAAAGAGGTAAGCAGAGGCACATATTACGCATTATATCAACCTTCGATCAAATCAACTATTTATTTGATCTAGTTTAGTTTATTTATTCAGCGCTACGAATAATAACTATTATTCGTAGGTTACTAGTTTATTTGAACAAAGGTGACAACTATAAATTTTAGTTCTGATTACGTAGGAGGCAAATATGGTGTAATCAACTGTAGCTTTAGGGATTAGATGGAAAAATTGGAAGTATAGTCAATAAATTTATAGGTATTTACGTAGGTATTCTCGTTGCGTGATCTCGTCAATGCCCGAATAGGAACATAGGAACCGTATAGGAACATTGTTGCATAGTGATAGGTCTGCTGCCTATAGTTTAAAATATAATTTGAAACGACTTTGAGAAAAAAATTGATGCTTTATTACTTTCCAGTTTGTAATTATTATTTAAATTGACAAACCAAACATTGTAAAGTAAACGAATTGACGATAATAATTAATATATTACGTCATTATTTGTTAATTCGTAGAAAAATTCTAAAACATATAATGTTTTGCCATCTAATAGATTGATAAGAACTGACAATGTAATATCACACATCAATTTAAAAGAATTTAAAACATCATCATTTTAAAAATTGCTGTTTTCGAGCTTCTACAGCTAGAAAGTGACGAAAAACTCCATTTAAAAATCTCGCACACGAACAACTAATATGCAATTTTAAAATTAAAATACTCATAAACTAAGTACATATACTAATAATAGAAATCTCTCTTTTTTTTTGTTTAAAAAGACAACTCCCGCATTAGGAAAATATCTCGTGTCGCGGGGGACTTTACAAACATACATGAAACGGACACAAAGAACACTCAGAATCAAAACAACCATTTGTAGATCACACAAAGTGTCGTCCCATGTAGGGATCGGACCTAGAACACAGCGTAATGGTAAGCAGCGAGGTGAAGGTCTGGGATAGCAGATTTATCAAGAAAGGATATATATTTTATGCAACGACCAATAGGAGTCGATTTTGGGAGATGCAGACGAAAATGCGCTGGTCAGATGCTAGTGCTAATTCTGTTGTTCGAAAACTCTCTAAACTAAACTAAACATCACTAAAAATTAGTTAAGTCCTGTCAATCAAAGTTTCTTATTCTGGAAACGTAGTACTTGACAGGACGAAACTATTTTTTAGTGATTTTAAGTTTAGTTTAGAGAGTTTTTGAACAATAGAATTAGCACCACTGTTTTATTAAAACTACTCGGATTTCAAGTTAGAATCTTATTATATAATTTTACAATTCTTGTTTGATATTTTAAATCACAATACACTCCATCACTGGGTTTCAATACAAAAGTGTCAACTAATCTGACCTCCACGTATCGTCGCTCTGTAAATTTGTAATTTTAATTAAAAATGATGATGACTGTTAAATTTCTGATTAGATTAGTTTTTCAGCGTTTGCTTACTTATTGAACAGAACTTGAAAGATGAAATCCAATCTGTACGAATTTGAAATGTGTTTGTTCTTACATCAACATCCTGCAATATTCCCAATTTGTTTTTCGGTTTAGACTTTAAATGGTTTTGGTTGGTTTTTTTAATGGCCAGATGCCTAATTGACGTGATCTCTTAGACCCTATTGATTTGTTTGTTTTCTCGTAATTGTCTCTCGTCTCGTGACGTGGCACGAATGGCGTAGTAGTTTAAGCTGTCATCTCGCCGTTTTCTAATACACAGAGTGTGTGACAAGACTTTGGGTGTCTTTGTGTTCTGTGTGTCCGTTTCATGAGGTTTCATGTATGCCTGTAAAGTCCCCCTCGACACAGGATATATTTCTAGTGAGTCATTTGTCTGTTTAAAATAATCCAGGGAACTAAAATATAAAAATACGTCACTGTAGTATAATTATAGAAATAATTTTTATTATGTGTAATTTTTTTTCTTAGTTCCCTGTAATCGGTGAGAGTTACTTTTATTTATTTATTTTTAATCAGAACGGCCTCTGGCTGTTAACGTTAATACAGAATAAATGATACTTTACAACAACGTTGTTCAATATTTTTTAATGTTATAAATAGACAACTATTTTGAATATTGAACTGCTCTCCTTGTCACACACACTCTTCTCGCAGTACACCAGGCATACTGACATAATCGTCTGCCATTCATCCGTAAACAAGTCACACTCTGAATTTGAGTCCAAGAGAGCGTTGAGTGCTGTAAGTGGCCGGGGAGTGGGGGAATTAAAATGTGCTATTAGTCTGTCCGTGTGGTGACGGATTAAGAATACAGAGTGTCACCACCCCTATTCATCCCGTGGGTGTCGTAAGAGGCGACAGCACTGCAGAGAGGAAGATAACTTAAAACCCTATACCAACCCGTCTGGCCAGCGTGGTGTAGTAGGCCAAAGCCTCCTTTCTAAGGAGAGGCCTATGTCCAGCAGTGGACTACTAAAGGCTGTTGATGATGGTTGATGAGTCCGTGACTTCTACCACGCCTGTAGTTATCGGGTACAAACAATCGACACACTTCAGGGTGAATCTCTGGGGCTTTAGTTGATTCTAATAAAACTTTGTACACTGTTCTGGTCTGATCATGGGTTCTCCTCACAGTTAGTGATATCCTAAGTTACTAAAGACGTACGTATGTGACAGTATGGCGGGAAAGTGAGTACCATTGATTTGATTATTGATCGAAGGGAGGTGAGATGTCATCGTTTTCCCAATCAAAAGTCGAATAATTGACACGCATTTTTTTTAAGTTCCATCACATCTTGAGCGTCGACATACTAGATGAAACGATATCAAGATGTTTACAAAAAATTATAACCTTTTGATAACACGTTATCAAAATATAAGCAAATATTACTTAATTTAAGATAAATTGG